ATACATGGCTATACATGGCTATACATGGCTATACATGGCAATACATGGCTATACATGGTAGTACACGGCAATACATGGTAATACATGGCTATACATGGCAATACATAGCTATACATGGTAATACATGGCTATACATGGCATTACATGGTAATACATGGCTATACATGGCTATACATGGCATTACATGGCTATAGATGGCTATACATGGTAATACATGGTAATACATGGCATTTCATGGGTATACATGGCTATACATGGCTATGCATGGAATTACATGGCTATACATGGCTATACATGGCTATACATGGTAATGCATGGCAATACATGGCTATACATGGTAATACATGGCATTACATGGGTATACATGGCTATACATGGATATACATGGTAATACATGGCAATACATGGCATTACATGGGTATACATGGCTATACATGGCTATACATGGCATTACATGGCTATACATGGCTATACATGGCTCTACATGGTAATACATGGCAATACATGGGTATACATGGCAATAGATGGCAATACATGGCATTACATGGGTATACATGGCTATACATAGCAATACATGGCTATACATGGTAATACATGGCAATAGATGGCATTACATGGGTATACATGACTATTCATGGCTATACATGGTGATACATGGCATTACATCGGTATACATGGCTATACATGGCTATACATGGTAATACATGGCAATACATGGCATTACATGGGTATACATGGCTATATATGGTATTACTTGCTATACATGACATTATATGGCTATACATGGCATTACATGGCTATTATGATACATTTCTTGATACACTTTAATAACCCTACTTAAACTACCTACCGAAAAAGGTCGTAAGTTTTTCTTTTACTCTTGACTTGTTTCTCTGTCTTCATTTTTTTTTTCTACAGGCAAGAAAAATATTTGAGTGATTGATTTTATCATTTATGAACGAATTACGATAAGCAAGAACTGCAAGGACACACATCTTCATTGATCATTTGTTTTGTCGGTCTGTTTTGTTGACCTTTTCGGTGAAAAATTGAGTAAGAAAGGGCGCTCCTGGGATTACATCGCGTTATTCTAAAGCAAAAGTAACAGTAACAACCATCTACCCTATTCTCATCAACTTTGTAATAAGTTTCGCTGTGTATGTGAATCAAATTTTATGTCAATTTATTGGACTTAACGCATCAACGCGATCGACGACCGTTATCTTCGTTTAGATCTAAGATTAATAAAATGATATGTGGCGTGCTTGTATGATCGTTAAATATAATAAAAGGTTATTGAAGTACTTCAAGGCGCTCTTTGCTGACATTTTCAATCAGAAGAGAAAAAAGATGCATTATTTGCAAACGGAAGGATTGGCCGTGACCTCTTGCGTGACATCCGCTGAGCAATTGGCATTGAATTTTTGGTCAAAATAGCCTGAACTCTTTTCAAACTGGATGCGCTAATTTTTGCGGGCCAAAAACGACAGTTGGAGATAACGAACTACGAGGATAAAGCTTTAACCTGATGTACAATATGACACGTAAATTTATATACTAGGATTTTTATAGGCCTTTAAAGTTGGCCTTTATTTCACCTCAACCCAAAAGATTATTTATTTCAACGGGTTTTTATGTTGTCTTAAACTTGACAAAATTACATGAAGTTTACATTTTTTAAAAGACAAAGGGTTCTTTTACCAATACTTAAAATAGCAAACTGGGAATTCAACGCGTTGCCGCGTACGGAGTTAGCGAAGTTGCAGAATTTTTCATTGTTTTTCCGGGGGGTCGGGGGCCGCCTCGGCGTATTTTGAACTTTTGAATTTTTCGGAAAAAGCAAAGCGCGATGGAACTTTTTAATTCCATTTTTGAAAATAGTTCACCAAAAGGGTCTTTTATGTAGAATAAAATAAATTATGAAATTTTGCAACTGTCGGCAGATTCTCGATATTTACAGTCAGGGCCTCTTAATACTGGAAGTAATGCTCGAACATCCTTAGAAAATGCTGGAAAAAAATAGCCCACGACGTGCTGGTGCAACACGATGTCCGTATACTTTGGCAAGCTCCTTGAGTAGAACTTTTTAATCGGAGAAAGGTTTCTAATATTGAAATTTTTCTGTCCACTTCGTTGCCACATTATGACCCCATTATGAAAATTGATAAAATGTAACAGTATCCTTTTTTTCTTGCTAATAGCTGAAAAAAGTGCTACCGGAGTCAAACAAACTGTTAGTTCCAATGAACCCCAACGTTCCCTGTATATGAAGGCAGTGAGACATGAACTGGAGCTGTTGGGTAGACCAAGTCTGATTTTGTAGTTTGATCAGTGCTTGTAAGGTACCCTTCAAATTCCAGACGCAGCAGTGTCTTTTTACATGGTTATTGTGAGCAACAACGGACAAGGAAATGGGGCTGGTAGATCAAATTCATCTTCCTTTTCAGTTTCGTCTTTAGATGGATATTCGTCATCAGTCAACGGCGGCGAATCATCTATGTCTGAGTCTAGCAGGTGAGCGGCTACTATATTGCCTAGGTCGTCTGTCATAGTAGAAGCAATTGGCTGCTGAATGTTTGGTTCATCATATTTTTGATCCCAGTCATCTAAGTAATCGTACGTCTCCGTTCCGGATTCATAATCGTTCCAGCAACCCCACTCTTCAAAGAACTCATAATCGTCAGAGTCATGTGT